ATCGGCTTTGAGAACGGTACCCTCTACGTTCAATTGCCGTGGGACCAGAAAAAGGTGGAACTGGAGTCGGTCGCCTTTGCCTACAATGTCGAGAAACGACAAAACACGTCTCTCAAAGAGGTCTATCGACAGCATATTTCCACACGCCTCGATGGATTGATTGCTTCCGGACATCATTTTGGGGCACTGGTCCTCGAGCCACTCGTGCTAGGTGCCGGTGGGATGCGGTTCGTAGACCCCCTCTTCCAGACCGTCCTGGTCGAGACCGTTCGCTCCCGCAGAGACCTCCTTCCCGAAAGCAAAACCTCAAATCCTCCCAACAAGATTGCGACGCTGCCAGTCATCTTTGACGAGGTATTTGCCGGTCTTGGGCGGCTAGGCTTTAGTTCACCGTCGACAATACTCCGAGCCCAACCGGACATTGCTGTGTATGCCAAACTCCTCACCGGTGGTCTATTACCTCTGGCGGCCACGATAAGCACGAACGCTATATTCGACGTTTTCCTCGGAGATCACAAATCCAATGCCCTCTTGCATGGCCACTCGTATACTGCGTATCCAGTGGGTTGTGCCGTTGCTTGCAAGGCTTTGCAGCTACAAGAAGAAGCGCTATCCAGTTTGACGTGGTCGGAGGCTAGGGAGAAATGGGCTACAGCCTCCTCCTCCTCTGACAAGGGGCCAACAACCGACGAGGTCTCAGATGCTGTAGCGTGTAGTCTGTGGTCGCCACTCTTTATTCGTCAACTCTCCGAATCGCGTCGAATCAAACGGGTGATGACCCTTGGCACAGTATTGGCATTTGAAGTGGAAGGGGAAGGAAAAGGTCAGTTCTGTCAGAAACTTGAAAAAATGGGGAAACTAAAGGTGCTTACTTTATAGACGAATCAGGCTACGGGTCGTCGGCGGCGGAGAGAGCCCTGCATTTCCTGAAAGACAGCGGTGGCGGCCCGACAGACGAGATGTCAGTGCACCTGCGCACTCTAGGAAACGTCGGGTACTTGATCACCAATCTCA